AACAGGGTGAATCTACCTCTGAAGCAAAGTGATGAAGCTGTATTGTGCTGGTTCTCTGCTGCTGGTTCATCTGCTATGATGTTTTTCTAGCAGTTTGTCTGCAGTTTCCATCCAACTTCATATTTTACTTTTGTCTCGTTTACAGAGGGTGCTCAGGGAGCTGGGGCTGTTGAATCAGCAGCAGGTGTGCTGATAAAACTCTTCTGTGTGCACACCAAGTGAGTATGCGTAGCAGCTGCGTATGGTTGTCCTAATCCTGCACTGACCTATAGAAATCTAATTTACCAATTCTTTTTGCTCATAACAAAAACTACTTGGATGCGTAGAAACTTCTAGCTGTGGTGTGTTCAGTATGGCCTTACCAGGAAGTAGCCCTGCATGGTGCTGTGGCAAGATAGTATTTTTGTCACCACGAGTACGCAGTGACTTAAGAGTTGTGCTCGTGTAAGTGCCAGGAAACCTCTCTCAAATACCCTGGATGCCAGAACCGGGTGGCACAGCTGAATGAGGATCAGCTTCCGCTTCTTCTGTCATGGGCAGAAAACACTAAAGTGTATTCCAAGGGCATTGGTTCCATGAAGAGGAATCTTCTAAGCATTAGACTTCTCTCGGTGATTCATAAACTAATCGGAGATGGCTGTTCTATTTTTCAGGGCCCTACAGGATGTGCAGATTAGATTCCAGCCTCTTCATAGTCCTGACATGAGTGCATCCATGCCTTCCCATGGCTCTCATGAAGAATTTGGTGAGCATTTGTGTTAAATCTATCTTCAGTGTTGCTGAGCCTTTAAAGGTTGTTGGAGGGGGGGCAGCAGGAGAGCAGCTTTGGGTGCCTCTGTAATAGAACAGAGTGGTGTCATTGCATAAAGGGTTCTGAATATGGACTACCTGGGAAGCAGGCCACTTGATTAGAGCCCCGTGTGAGTGTGGAGTGTGGGGACGTGCTAGGCTAGAAGTGCTAATGCTTTGTGCACACTTGAACTCACCTTCCTTGGTGATTTGGCACTTGTGCCAGAAACTTGACATTTGTCTCTTGTCAGGTGGAAGAGATTACAGTGACACCAGAGCTTTGGGAGTGGAGGGGACTGGGCTGTGTGTAGCGTGCTCTTTCAGTTCATTCACCATTCTGGGATGTGGCTGTTAAACTCGCCTTGCATTTAGGGAAGAAAGGAAGCTTGGATCTCTTATTATCAAAGCCTGATAACATCCTCTGTTTAGCCTACAAAGAGTAAGCATGACACAGGATTTGTCTTGCCCTTAGCTTTGATTAGGTTGTTGCAGGGTTTTTGCTTGTTCTTTTGGAATCCAGTATGGCAGGCAATGGCATAAGTTCATACTTTGTGGAATTAAAGCTTTAGCTTTTGGGGGAAGTTCCTGTGAATTGATTTGTATTTCTCCCTTGGAAGCCTTTCCAGACCACATGGCTGATCTAAGCACAGAAGGGCTGGGATCCGAAAAAGGATCGGTGCATGGCTCTCAACCAGACCTGCGGCGTATTGCTGATCTGCCTGTACCAGCAGACTTCCTTTCTCTCTCAAATGATGCCAAACCTAAGCTGATGACTCCGGATGCGTTCATGACACCAAGTACATCTCTTCAACAGGTAACCAGAGAGCAGCACTGTTATTGGTGGTACAAGGGGTGGGTTTGGATTTTGATACTTTTGGGAACTTTTTCTAGGCAGTAATGACTCTGATAGGCTATGCTAGCTGAATGCAGAGCACACAGGAAACTCTCTGCATGTAACCAAACTGAGTAAAGACACGTTGGCACGTCTAAAATGGTAAGCTGGCCTAAGCTTGTGTTGTGAGTGTTGTGTTTAGCTCCAAAACTGCTGACGTAGCTGTGCTGTGTAGAAATACAGGTTTGCTAAATAACTGTATCTGAGCTGGGAGACCGCTCTTACTGGTTTACCCAGTTGTTTGGGGTGTGATGTAACTATAGTGGAAGAAAATATGCCATCTCTGCACATCCTGTCTGATGGGATCCTGTGGGCATGCATGTCTGAAATGATCAGGTGGGTAGATGGGACTGTATCGTCTTCTGCATGAGATCTGCAAATTGGTGATCCAGTAGCTCGGTGGGTTTTTTTGAAACTAACACAGCAGGCCTTAACTTGTACAGAAGGCAAGTCTTCTGTGCTTGCTCCAGGGATTTCAGTATCAGGAAGTGCGTGAACCATTCCTTGGGATTTGGTGACCTCTGGAAAGGATAGCAAAGTGTTTTGGTGAAGAGTCATAAGCAAGCATTTACTCCTCAGTGGAGCTCTGATGGAGCAGACAGAAAACACAGAATTCCTCTTAATGCTCTGTCACATGTGCGTGGCCAGCAGTGCTGCATCACGCACCGTTGGGTCCTGCTGGGCATTTCTAGAGGCTGTCTGGCACCGACAGCGTGCATCTGTCTAACTCAGTGCAGGTTTCTGCTGCCCCTTCTTGGTTATGCCAACAAGCAGAAGTGCAGGAGCTCGCTGTTTCTTGGCCACTCTGCATCCAAGTGTCACGTTAGTTTGTCTTAAACCCACTCAGATATTCTTGCTTTATAGCCTGCTTCTGTGCCTCTGTACTGAATTTGTGACTGTGTAGTTTTCTCCATGTGCTTTTAGAATGGGAGTAGATGTAAATTAAAAAGTATTTTAAAAAGGGCATCCTTTAAAAAAGTGAGCCACAATTTAATTACGAGGTGTGGATTCCACTGGTGAGAAGCTGTGCTGTTTGTGTTTTCTCTGCCTTCCTGTGAGAAATTAACTGTCAGCAGTTATCTGCTGTGCTGGTACAGTTCTTACAGGCAAGGAGGAGAGTGCTTGTGAGCAGCACTCCGTGTACACATCCTAAGGCAGGGCTTCCTCCTCCAAGGGAGGGAGGTTTGTCACCACAGCTTGAACATGTACTGGAGGAACCTGGATGAGGATGGACAGCACGTGGAGGTGTGCAGAAATGGAGTTCGTGCTGAGTTGACTAACAAGAGAGCGCCACCCTGGCGGCAACTTGGGGAGCAAAGAATAAATTAAACTCATCCTAAAGGTTTTGATGTTGCTGAGTGCAGGAGTTAATTTTGTGCCTGAGGGTGGGTAGCCTTCCCAATGCAAAGATGTCCCAAGGGAGCAGAGAGAAGTTGTTGATAGGGTGATGGCTGCACATACTGTTTGCTGCAAGGAGCAGCTCGCTCTTCAGTTCAAACAGTGTAACTGTTCGGTTTAAACCTGGCTTTTCACTGCTACCTATTTCATGGCAGGCTTTTTCCTGCTGGCACCAGCACCCCGGAGCACTGTAGGGCAGACACAGCCTTGAGTTTAGCTCAATCTCTGCTCTCTGCCATAAGCACTGTCAAGCGCAAGAAGCTTGGCCACGCTGGCTTTCCCAGCTGAGTACTTGTGCGCTTATGTTGGTGTTCTCTGTAGGTGTTTCTTGGTAGCCAGAAGCAGCAGCGGGGGGCCAGCATATCCCACTGTGCTTTTCCCTGCTATCCAGTCAGCTAGATGAGCAATACCTCTTCTTGTGCGTTGGAGCATTCTACTTCCGTGTATCAGCAGTGCAGGACTTAAACCCCGTATAGACTCTGGCCTCACTAGTGGCAACCGACTTTGACAAGAGCAGTCTAGCTCAAAGAACAAAATGGGGATCTGGTGCGGAGCCCTGCAGAATGCCACTTTGCTTTGGGAGAGCAATTGCTCAATAAAAGCAGTCATGGTTCATGTGATGAGGATGTATTGGGGCTTGCCTTCGACCAGCACCTGAGCACCTTAGCATTACAACTCAACCTATTTTTTTTTCTATTCCCTCTTCACCAAAGACTCTTTAGGAGTTCTTCTGGAGCCAGCATTCTCAGGTTGAGTTCTGCTGTTGGACTCTTCTGTCACATCCTGACCGCTGTGTATTTTCTTACAGATCGCTGTATCTCCAGGCAGCAGCGTCAGTTCCCTGACTGCAGTCACAGCCATGAGTAGCACTTCTGTCACGGATGCCTCTATGCCCAGGTAAATAGCGCATGTATAAATAATATATCTGCAGCTGAACTGATACAGTCCTTCAGGGTGGTGCAGAGCTGTAATGTATCTTGTAGGAGAGGGGATTGTAACCAGAGTTAGAAACTGGCCTGAGTCCCAATGTCCCTATATAGGCAACTGTTTGCATCTCTGGTGCAGCTTGGAGTGTGCCTGTTGTCATCCAAGGGGCCAACAACAGTGTCTCATTTGTGCCTCATAGGGATTCTCTTATTGCATCTCAGTTTTGTTGCTTTACATGCTTCTCCCAAAGGGCTGTCATTGTTTACAGGTAAGAAAACACTGCAGCCACTAAGGACAGGGAGATAATTGAGACTGTTAGGAAAATCTTAACTAGTGTCGGGGTGGGTTGGGCTGCATAACAGGTGAAAACTTCACTTCTGGGGACTGGGAAAAGGACAAAGACCTATCCCATAGTGTCTTGTTTCTCCCTAAACTCTGTACAGTGTGCACTGAAGATATAACTGGTCCCTTCTCTCACTGACCCCTCAAATTCTAAGAGATTGGGATGCCCCTCTTTTTTTTTGGTTTTGTTTTGTTTCCACCTGGTATCTCTTTGGGCTGTATGGGGACTAGGAGATGCAGGTGCTAGTTGACAGGGAGTGGCTGACCACGGTGGAAAGAGCAAGGGCCTGGAGAACACTAGTGAAGTTTGGGTTGGGCTCTTCCATTGACCTGTGGATCCCATCTCCTCACCTCGAGTGTTTGATGTAGATCTGTATCATTAGGTTGGCCTGCTTGATTTCTTTGTGTCTCTGTTTTCTGCAGGCCATCGGAAGACTTGACTGTGAGCCCCAAGATGCAGCTGGACACCAGCCTCACGCTGAGCAGCAGTAGCAGCAGTCTCCAGACTAGTCCTAGGAGCCATTCAGTCCTTATCCCAGGCCTCCCTGACAAGCTAACACCAAAGGCAGCTGTTGCAGTAAGGCTCCAAATGCTGTTCCCTTCCTTCTCCTCATGGCCCAAGGGGCCTCTTTCTATGGGCCTGTACAAGCTGAAATTAGACTTATTTGGATATTAACAGGGCCAGCATCTGCCCTTTGGAAAACACAGCTGCTGGCACAGATCTGCAGCCAGGTTTACCCGTGTTAATGGAACTTGATCTTGTGTAAAACAGCATGTTTCTGAAAACTAGAGACAGCTGTAGCTTGTGCTGTGACTATCACAATGGTTGGACATGGTCAGCCTTTGTGTTAGGAGACAGTGCTACCTGGAAAGGTTTCTTCCTCCTTGTTGGTCTGACAGGTCTGAAACAATCATTTCCTATTCCTAAATTTTTCTTCCCAGGTGTGATACAAAACAGATTATGACCAAAGTTTGAAATTGAAATAAGCTTTCTGTCCAGGAGATGTTCAATGTTAAAACTAACTTTTTCCCTCAAAGAGGAGGGATCCTGGAGCAGAGCAGGGAGGTAGAGCTGGTGTTACATTTTCTTTTGAAAGTGTGTTCAAACTAGCATTGGCTTAAGCGTGGTGTTAGCTCAGCTGAGAGTCCATTACAAGACTTGGGGCCCTTCTCCATCTGCTAAACAGAGTGGGAGCACAGGGATCACACGAGGAAAGGATACAGCTGGCTGTTTCCAGAGGTGGTTGGCGTAAGGTACCAGGGGTTCTTGGAATGTCTCCACATTACCCTGAAGGCTCTTGTTTGATTTTTGTATTCAGGTCACGCCAGGAAACCCCTCTCTAGCACTGGAACTGCAGGAGGTGGAGCCCTTGGTGGTGCCCCAGGCTTCTCCCACCCGCGAGCGCTCGCCAGACGTCATTTCCTCTGCTTCCACAGCCATGTCCCAAGATATCCCAGAGATTGCTTCCGAGACCTTGCAACGCAGCTTTGCGGCAGCTCCGTCTGGGCTCCCCGCGGAGGTGCTGGAGCCCAGTCATCATGCAGACAGTATGGCATCCGCTGCCTCAGCCTTGCATTTGCTGTCTCCGAGGAATCGGCACAATTCAGAGCACAGCCACCACTCTTTGGACATGCCTCCAGTGGAGGTGGACAGACTGAATGCTCCGTCATTACTGGAGACTGCTTTAACTCAGGAAAATGCATCTTCTGACAGTGTTGTGAGTCAGCCGTGGCCAGCAGCTCCTGACATAACGAGAGAAACCAGGAACAGCATGGCAGACAGGTAATCACTTGGGTTTGTCTTGCTCAGGGCAATTTCTTTGCACTTGCCAAATTGCTAGCTTGCTGAAAAGGTCTTATGTTCTGATTAAGCCAGAGCACTTCTCCATCCCTCCTTTCCTTAAAGGATCTGATGATTCAACCTTCCTGTGTGCTTGGTCTGTGTATGCTGTGTCCTCAACTTCCTAGGCCAGCTCTAACAGTTTGTGCTCTCTAATACCCCTTGCAGCATAAAAGATCTCTGTTAAGAAGGTGAAAAGTCTACTTTATTGGCCTTCACGTTCACCTGGGAATGGAGACTTGAGATGGGATCTTTTTTTTTTTTTTGTACTCTGGAAATAAAACCAGTGCAAGCTAAATTCTGCCCCAGGTGATGTGTTCCTGGATGCTTTTGTTGAAAGGAATCAATTAGCACATAATTGACAGGTTTGATTGTAGGTTAATTGTATATCTCTCTTCTAGGATTGGCTCTGTGCAGCTAGCATTATAAATAAAATATTTTAAAAGCCAGAAAATGAATGGCAATGTCTCTGTGGAGCAGGCATGCAGAATGGGGCAACATAACATACGCCTGCTTACCAGGAGCAAACTATTACGCTGGAGCAGTGCTAGGATTCATCACAGAATTAGCGTCCGTCTTTTAGTGGGACGGGAACAGCAAGATGGACCTGGCACCTCCAGAGTCTGTCTAGGCCAGGGCTGCATGCACCACGAGAGCCTGCAAACGCCTTCCTTTTCAACAGGACTAGCAGGCTGAGAGTGTCAGTGTTGTCCCTCAGACTATCCAGGGCTGTTCCCTCCCGTCAGAATTGCAAGAGAAAGGCCTTGCTTGTGCCTCAGCACACCTGAGGATGCTGCTTCAGGAAACGGACTCAATTCTGATGGCTCTGGGGAGGGCACCGAGGCTGTGTGTCTACACAGTGGTTTTGCTTTTGCTTGTAATTTGAAGTTGAGAAAATACTTTTACTGGAGCTTGCAACTCCCCTCAATCCCACTCTGTCTTTGAATTCTTCAGGACTTCTCATAGCAGAGTATCAGATCGGATACCTCTGGATCTGAGCCATTTCACTTGCGCATCAATATAATTTTTTTTTTTTACGTTCCAGCTCAGTCAAGCCATCAGCCTACATGAAAGTAACGAGTGCTCACTTCTGTTTCAAGGTCTTCCTGTGCGCTGAATTCAAAGAGACCTAGTTTATGGCTTAGGAGCATGTGTAATTTGCTTTCAGAACCTTTATGGAACTCAGACTGGATTCGCTGTTGCAGTTCTGTTCTGTCTGGTAGAGCTAACCCATCAAATTGGCTCACTTCCCTCTGCGTACTTCCCAGACACTTGGGAGAACTGAGAAGCACTGATGATTTTTGCCCCAGTGATCAATATTACTTAGGAAAAACAAACCCAAGATGATGCTATTCACTGAAGTACTCTGTACTGCCCAGTTTGAGTAGTGGCTTGCCTGTCTTGCATGGATGTCTGTTGGGAGATTGTTCTTGGTTGGGGCCTGAAGCATAGCTGAGCTGCTTCTCCTTTCTTAAGGCCTCCAGAAAAACGCATGGAGAAATTTAAGTGTTTAGTACCTCTAAACAACACTTGCCGCTCTCTGGATCTGTGCAGATAGGTGTGGGGTGTGTGTTTGTTTGTCTTAGACCTTCTATCAGGATCTGCCGTGAGAAGTGGAGTGAGCAAATACCCAAGCAGAAAGAGACTTTCGTGATGGTATTTTCTTTTTTTTCCTCCTCTAGCCCAAGGGATGAGGTTGAAGAAAAGCACAAGAGCTCTTCCTATCATCGCCACAGCTACCACCTGCTGCAGCATGACAGCCAGGATGCTAGTGCAGAACAAAGGTACCAGAGTGCTCAGCCCCCTCTCTCGCCCTGCAGGGACTCAGTTCAGGCTGCATTCGTGCTTCTGTCCCCAGCAAGCCTTCACGTGTGGGGTGAATGTCTTTGCTTTGTCTCCTGACTTAATGTGTTTATGCAGTCCAACTTCCGTAATGTTCTGATGACTTCAGCTGATCACGAGATTGGCCTCTGGGCATTGTCCAATTTATTCTCTGTGGGGAAAGGTTTGACTGTGCTGCTCCTAAGAGCATGGACCAAGCTTGGTTTAATTACCAGTGAAAACCTATTAAGGGATCAGTTTCCAAATACTGTGCCTTAGATAAGGTAGCAAGGGTATCTCAGGAGTTAGATTCTTGCTTTTGACATCTTTGCTCCCTCGTGAGCCACCCTAAAGCTCTGTGGGCACATTCTGTGTGCCTGGCAAGCTCAGCCCTGTTTGACAGCTGAGGGTTCATTCTTAATCCACATTTAAATTCAAACTGAGATGTGCAGCCTGTATTGGATGGCTGGTTAGCAGCTGAAAGACTCCAAGGTACCGAGGATCACGTACTTCCTAGGCTCAACCTGATTCTCCTCTGTTCCTGTGACTTGCTGCGTCAAGTGCTTTCTGTCTGTAAAGCTGTAAGGATATGCTGTGCTTGGGTTCCCTGCTGGGTCAGCGTCACGTCCTAGGGCTTATGTGCTGGTGTGTGTATGCAGCAAGAACAGGCATCGTTCCGCCACGCTGCCTGAACCACAGTTGTCCCTAACGCAGAGACCCTTCAGGTCTCGTTACGCAGCACTCGAGCTCAGCCTGAGCAGGCCTGGATCAAAACGGAACAGCACGTGCTGAGCTCTGTAGAGGTCTCTATGTTAAAGGTCAAGGTGGTGGGCGTCCTTAGCTGCGTGACTCTGGCCGTGTGTGGATGAAGAGCAGAGTGTGACTCCCCTCCCCTTAGTGAAGGCTAACGCTGTCCAGTATTGCAAGTGATGTCCTCTCCCCTGCTGTTCCTTCATAGTGACCATGATGATGAAGTTGCAAGCTTGGCTTCTACATCAGGTGGATTTGGTGCCAAAGCGTCTACGCAGAGGCTGCCTGTGAAGGACTGGAAAGCCAAGGCATCCCCTCGGGCTTCCCCAAAGCTAAAGCGGAAGGGCAAGAAAGATGACGGGTACGCTGGGCTTGCCAGAATACAGGTGGCTGTGGGACCAGCTGTGCAGGGCCACAACCTGATGCGTAGCCATTAGCAGCGAGACTAGGGTCTGAGGCTGGGCAGCGGCCAAGTGCTCCCAACCCTCACCCCATTTTGCAAATGGCAGTAACCCCACAGAAAGTGTTGCTGGTTACTCAGACACTGAGTGCCACTCAGGGGTGCGGGAGTAGGTTCTGCACTACCTTTCCAGCTGGGACTCAAAATCCAAAATACAGCCTGGGCTTCGGAAGAATGTGTGAGAGGTAAACTGCACATTGTGGGGGGATACTGGATCCATTTGCCGGTTTCAGTGAAGGCTTCACTGGAACTCTGACACTGTGAGTGTAGCTTAACGTGGCCTCCGTTTCTGGTTGGCTTCTGAACGCTGGCACAGTGCCCTTGTTCAACAATATCTATCGTTTGTTACCTGCTTGCTGCTTTTGTGTGTTTCTAAACGTGCCCATATGAATGTCTTGTAAGTGAAAACTGATGGCTGGAAAGGTCTGCCCGTGGCAAATTAGACCAACCTGCCTGCATTAATGTGAGGAGAGGAACACAGCTTCTGCACGGGGCTCTCTCCTCTTCTTGTGTTCCCATAGCTCCGTGATTTGGATCTCTGACTGTGCAGATTACAACGAAGATGGGCTATGGCATTAAGTTTCTGGCTGTGGTCCTGTACTGAGGCTAAGAGCTTACTGGGTCACAGAAATACCTTTCATTTTTCCTGCCTCAGTCCTTTTAAAGTTGCTGAATGGATGCTGTCTAGGAACAAATGTTTACTTTCCTTCTGGTAGCGTTTGAATATTCATAGATCTGTGACTTTGATGGAGACATGCAATATTAGTGGATCAGTTCAGTGTTTTTCTTTATTCTGCTGTATATGCTGGAGTGCATCACTGGTTTCTTCACCTTGAGAGCTGGAATCATTCTAGATGATTTGAAGCCTGTTAATTCTATATTTAACAAACGGGTACTTGGTTTTTCTTTGTAAAATATCAGGAGATCTTCAAAACTGTTTGGCAAAGCCTTCCCTGGCTTTGAATTTGGACAAAACTGAAAAATCAGTGTGCATTGTTCTTTGTAACAGTCCTCATTAAGACTTGGTTCAAATCTCCTCCCTGCGAAGGGATCAGTCTGTAAGGAACTTCAGGGCCTGTGAATAGTGCAAATGATGGAGTCACAGTGCTGCAAGGACTGGGATTTCATCACCTTCTGTCGCTCTTCATGTTATACTAGGCAAAACAGAAGCATGAGCTGGAGTGTAAAATCTAAAGCAACCATAAAATGTGTGATCTGTTGTGGCAGAAGACTTGGATAATAAGAGCAGTTAATTGCCATAATTGGATTACTACTTTTTCTCTTTTTTATTTCCAGGGATGTGAACCAGTCGCCAAGATCATCTAACAACCAGGTGAGTCAGAGCTGCTCTGCAATCTGTCCCAAGGGCATGATGCTTCAGCTCTATTTACTGTCTTACTAAAGACCTGAGAGGAAGTTCATCCCAGTTCCTTGGAGTACCGTGGGCCCCTGCTGTGCCCGAGCAGGCTGAGATGGGGCTGCGCTTGGGCTTGGCATTGCTCTGTTCTCTGACTTGCGCAGCAGAGAAGGAGCTGCTCAGTGATATCCAGACCGGTGGCTTCCTTCTCGCCTTTGCATATCGATGTGCATTTCTGTGTTCTCACAAGCCCTGTATCATCTAAGACGCTACCACTCGTTTCCCTGCTGAGATGACTCGCATGCGTCGGCAGCAGGATAAGCTGTTCCCCGCAAAGTAAGGGTCACAGTGGGACTGGCCTGTTGGAATTTCTTAGCCCTGTTGGCAGTACCTTGGTATCTGGCAGAAAATGCTCTCAGCCGAGTTGCGTACGCTTCTTAAACTGCCCTTGATGTGTGTGCCTCCTTGATATTTTGAGCAGGTGACGAGACAACGAACTATAGACGTATACTTCTCCAGTTGTTTGGTTATTCATAAATAAGTGAAAGAGCTGAAAAAGTGCTCTAGGAAACCTCCTTCTTACTCTACTGATTGCACAGCTCTTTCATAAGTGTTTGAAGTCATTATTTACATTCGGAGGCCTAAACACTCTCAGTACCTGGCCAAAAGTGAACAGGATCTGTTTTCTTCTGTTTTCTTTTAGATGCCAGAGCTGTGAAGGTGGTCTTGGATCTAAACAGTTGATATTCTAAGCAACCATTTATGAATTCCATGCAGGAACTTCATGTACCTTGCTTTATCATTTTATTTCTTGGGACAAAAGTCTTAGAAATAGGCATTAAGCTGGCCTGGTTTTCTGTTTTGTGTGTTACGCTTCAGTCCTAGGCACAGGGGTTGACTTAATACCTAGGAGAAAGCTTGACTGACCTCTGATCCTGTTAGAAATGAATGCTTATCCTCTCCACGCATAGGTGACACCAGAGTTCCAGGATGAGCTGATGTGCATATTGAGGAGCCAACAGCGGGAGCTCTCTGAGCTGCGTCAGAACCAGATGGAGCTGCTGCAGAGACTCACGGATCACCTTGATGCCATTCAGAGCTCCCTTATGGGCCATGTGGAGAGGGTGATTGACTCCCAGCAGGAACAGGAGCGTATCCTTGTTTGCAAATGTTGCGTGGCAGTTAAGGAGCAGAAGGCTGCAAGGCAGAGTAGACACATTGAGGAAGGCTAAGAAAGTTCAAGAATCTTGGTAGCGTGGGCCATAGGTGCAGTAAAATTGCCTGGCTGCAACATAACTCTTTCAGTTCCTCTCGGTCCCTTTCTAAGGGCACGAAACTCAGAAACAGAACGGAGAAGAACTGATACTTTCTTTCTCTGTGCCACTAAATTTTCTAGTTACCCATTAAGACCGTAAGTGCTGCAGCGCTGGAGTAGGCTAGAGGTGCACCTAATATGTTATCCTACGTCAGGCAGTGGCCAGCTGAGTAGGAGTAATTATGGGGTGATCCTTTCCTTCCTTTCCTCCTTCAGGCAAGGCAGTACTTGCACCAGCAATAGCATCTGACTGCCATGCTGCATGGCTGAATATAGAATTGTCTTGTCTGTACCCGTATATACATCTGGTGGTCCACAGGTCCCTTACGTGTTGTCTGAAAAGTACTTTTTTGGGGTGTTTTCAAACCTGGTATCCAATCATTTTTTATTGTGTTGTGAGTAGTCAGTTCCTGTACATCTCTTGCTGCACTGAATTTGGTCATGTTCCCCAAACTGAACAGCTCTAGCCTGTTTCATGTCTGAAGCCACTCCACTTCTATGACATGACAATGATTTCTGTTTTCTCTATTAATTAGTCTTGGATTTTCCTTTTTGACCATCAGGCTGATATTTTCATAGATAATTCAGATAGCTTTCTACTGAAGTTTGGAGTCTAGAGCTATATTGTAATATTAGAATAATTTTTCCCTATCTGCACAACTTCATATCTGCACTGAATTTTGTCAGCAGCTGAATTGTCTTTTTCACTGTTTGTTTTGTTGGTGTTTGGTTTTGTTGTGGTGTTGGTTTTTTTTTTTTTAAGATGCACGTGCCTCTCAGTGTTTGTGTGTTGGCTCCTTCAGAGAGCTTGGTTGCTTCATGAGGTATGACTAGCTTTTATTAAGCCTGGGTTTGCTCCCGTGCACTATATCGCTTACGTCCACCAATTCCATCCTGTAGAAACGTGTTTACCAATTTGCTTTTTATGGATATTGGGCTTCTTGGTTTCTGTAGTGGTTCTGGCTGGGATGGAGTTAATTTTCTCCGTAGCAGCTCCTATGGTAGTATGTTTTGGATTTGTGACCAAACCAACGTTGATAACACACTGATGTTTTTGCTATTGCTAAACCCTGTCAAGATCTTCTCTGTTTCTCGTGCTGCTCCACCAGCGAGCAGGCTGGATGTAGGCAAGAAGTTGGGAGGGGACACAGCCGGGACAGCTGACCCCAACTGACCCAAGGGATGTCCCATACCGTATGACGTTGTGCTCAGCAGTAAAAGCTGGGGGAAAGGAGGAGGAAGAGGGGAAGTTCGGAGTGATGGCGCTTGTCTTCCCAAGTAACCGTTACGTGTGATGGAGCCCTGCTTCCCTGGGGATGGCTGAACACCTGCCTGCCCATGGGAAGGAGCGAATGAATTCCTGGTTTTGCTTGGCTCGCATGTGCAGCTTTTGCTTTACCTGTTAAACTGTCTTTATCTCAACCCGTGAGCTTTCTCACTTTTACCCTTCCTGTTCTCTCCCCCATCCCGCTGCAGAGGAGTGAGCGAGCGGCTGTGTGGGGCTGAGCTGCCTACGGGGGCAGCTGAGTTAACCCACAATATGTAGGGAATATTACTGTCAAGCTTCTTTCAGCTGTTTGGCTTTTCTACCCTGCCTTCTAGAGCTCTTCTCTCACACTGATCATTTGTTTAAGAGCACCCTGTTGTTTACAGGAACGCATCAGCAATGTTATTAGACCCCTCTTTTACCAGAGGCGCGAATTTGCTCTCACTGAGCCTCTGGAGGTGAGGCTAGCGTCCATCTTTGTGGACAGGAGTGTCGAGGGTAGAGAGGAAGTCTGTTGTTTGTGTTCCTTAACATGCGTTCTCGTTAGAAAGAAGACTAGACCGAGCGCTGACGGAAGGACAGCAGCGCAATGGGCAGCTCCAGGAGCATCTGTCTCAGCAGCTCTCTCAGTCCCTTTCCACTGCTGTGTGTAACCGTCTGGAGAGGACCATTCGTGAGGAGATGAAGAAGACTGTACCCCAGTGTGAGTGTTGCTGCCTAGGTTTTGAAGGTGGATTCCTACAGTTAGCCCCGTAGGGATTGAAAGCATGCTGTGAGAAGTGTTGGCACTGTATGAAGTATGAGTTAGGTTACATGAAGACTAGTCATTGCACTTTAAACTGTTGCGGGCCCCACTGTAATCTGAGAAGAGGAGTTGTGGTTTGGAAGGAGTATGAGGCTCCCAGAGGGGATGCCTTTCCAGAGAGCGTGGTCTGACCTTCCAATGTAATCCATAAAGCTTCTGGAGTCTGTTCGGTGAAGGAAGGCAAAAGAGGCTAATGAGTTTGGCAATGTCGAGACTTGACTGGAGCAAACTTAAACTTGTCTTTGCCCTTCCTTGACGCACTGGCACCGTCCATGTAAGGAAACGTTCAAAGAAATGCTGGTGGGAAAGCCTTCTGCAGCCATTGGTGTCCACCATTCTGCTTGAAGCAGAGCTACCCGCTATTCTAGATAAGGTCAGCTGTGACTTTGTTGGGACAAGTCTTGAAAACCTTCAAGGTTGGAGCTTCCACAGCCTCTCTGGTGACTTCCAGAGCTGTACCACCTTCCTAGCAAAAAGTTTCTCCTGATGTCCAACCTTTAGCTTCCCAAGCCAGGGCTAGTGACCATTTCTGCTTGCTGTGTCATATCCAAGAAGAGTTTGACTCCAGGGGGGGGAGGGGTCTTGAAGTGTGACTCTAGGCTTAAAGCTGCAACTTTGACATGTTTGTGTTGTGCCTAGGCATTTCCAAGAGCATGGACCCTATTGCTGGCCAGCTAAGTAACACTATTGCCGCCAAGCTCACTGCTGTTGAGGGGACACTGAAAGAGAGTATCACCAAGCTGGTGAAATCAAAGGTAAGGAGAACCAGACGGTAGCTTTTCCTGGGGACATTGAGTTGTCACCTGCCTGGGTAGTGACTCCTCATACCTCTTCCCCTCACCTATATCTCCAGGTAAGGTCAGTTTAGCTGCCAGTGGTCAAAGCTCCTGGTCTCATCCAGAGGGCAAGCTTGTTGTGTACTCTCCTGCCTGCTTTGCCTCATTAGCCCTTTCTTTCATTTACCGAGTTGTTCATTTTCTACTAGAGCAGAGAATTCTCACTACAGCAGTGTCTTTAGGGCCATCTCAGTCAGCCAAGTGGTGAAGTTTGGCTCTTCTGCTCTCCGCTCTGTTCTCCATTTCTACATTGTTTAGGGAGCAGAAGCTCGTTGCTTACCTTGGCAGGGAATGGTGGATTGTGGGAGGGAAGCAGGGGAAGGGGAAGGGAGCCATGCTTGACTCTGCCACCTTCCCTTGCTCTACAGCTGAACTACAGGGAAATGGTGATGTTCTCTGGCAGCCCCTCAGCAAGCAGACGCTCTGCCTGCTGTAGTCATGGTGCAGCCCGGTCAGTGGAAGGAGCTGAGGGAGTACACACTTCTGACACTGGGCTGTCCTCGTCTGGTGTGGGTGTGTTGGAGGGACCTACAGTGTTTGTTCACATCTTTAGTCTGCAGCAGGCTGTTGTTAATTTTCTGGAATCTCTTCTGTGTGTGCTTGCAAGAACCTTACAGATACTGTTGTGAGGGCAACGGCCGACACCCTGCAGGGGCCGATCCAGTCAGGGGAAGCGTTTCAGGCCGTCGTGTTGCCACCCTTCGAGAAGACCTGCCAGTCCATGTTCCAGCAAATCAACGACACCTTCAAGCAGGGCACACAGGAATGTGAGTAGGTTCTCTTCTCTGAGTCTTCTCTGCACGGCGTATTTGCATTAGTAGCTGACAACAAGTTGGCTTCTTCTTACGTCTTTGCCTTTCAGAGTTTCACGGGTGACTGTTTAACCTCTTAGCCCATCTGCAGGCGAAATAGAACCAGAACCGAGGCGTTTTTTTGTGGGTGGTGCTGTAAGAACAGAGATTCACCTCTGGTCTTTGTAGCCCATGCGGCAAAACACTTGGCCTCATTCTGTGAATCTGTGACTTCATCTATTGCGTAGAAAAGCCCAGCTGTAGGACTACACCTGTGGTGAGGTGTAATCACCACCCTGACATCAGGAAGATGATGCATGGAGAGGGTAGCAGTCCTGCAGCTAGGCCCTCATCTCAGAGGGGTAATGGAATTGGGGAAGGTTTAGAGAAGGGTACAGGGATGGTCAGAGGTGAAATAGTGGCTGAACAGTGTAGATAGATGTGGTCAGGCTGGAAAAAAGAAAGCTATACACTTAAGTAAGGAAAACTGTACGCTGATGCACTGGAGAAGATCTTTCCTCTTCTCAGGCTTGGGATCCTGTTCCTCGGCCTTCTGGGAGGCCAGGCAGGTATTACTCTGCAGAGCTGGTTTCTGAAGGGGCCTGAAGTTGGCTAGTGCTGGCACAGCGACTTCTGTTGTCCATAGATCTGCAGTGTCTCCAGCTGCTGTTTATTTTGCACCCTTCCTTTTCCTCACAAGTCTCCTACAAGTAAATAGACCTTATATTCTTCTCCCTTTTGATCAGACCAGTTCATAAAATATTTTAAAATACAGCTTTTTGATCTCTGCAGACATGATTTTTTTTTTTTGTCAGAAATGTTCCTCCTCTTTCTTCATTGGCATTGAACTCCATCACTAATGCAGGTCACAACTCACGCTGTGTGTGAAATAAAATATCCTGGCTCCCACCTTTATCTTGCCCTGAACAAACAGTGCCTGTAAAGGTCTGTCGCAAGAGGAGAACTGGTGGCTTTGTTGCTGTGTCATGTAATCCTGCATGATGGGGAGGCTGGAAGCGGGGTTTCTAGGTTAGTGTGACGCAGCCCAAAGCAAGGCTTGTGCGTTCTCTCTCCCCTGTGCTCGTACACTGGCTCAGTAATTGTTTCTGCTGGAGAACGTGTAGAGCCTGGGCAGCTGGATTTCTGCCCTGACCATCTCCGCGGGTACCGATGGCACAAACGTCTTCCTCTCTCGTTGTTGCAGATATCCAGCAGCTTGAGACTCACTTGAAGAACAAGAAGGTACGAGAACAGGAGGCCCGGGACCCGCTGCTGAATCAGCTTCGACAGCTCATCAGCACCTTCCAGAGCACCACCGAGCAGCTGGCTTCCACTGTCGCAGCCAGCGTCCACGCTGAGGTGCAGCATCAGCTGCATATTATCGTGAGCAAGTAAGTTGGCAGCTGGGCTCGTGGAGAGAGATGTCAGCAAGGGGTATATACACGTGCATAACAAAAACCTCTCCCCGCTAGTTGTGGAACAAGCCGTTTGTCACTGTAGGGCTGCTTGTTGCCTCTGTGCACAGTATGACAAAGCGTGTGGGCTGGTGTAACTGTTGCCCTGTAGGGCACAAAACGAAGACCACAGAAGGTTTCTAACAACCAGATGTATCACTGCTGCGTGTGGGAGCTCAGGGCCTGCTTTTCACAGCGTCCCATGTGCATGTTGGAGGACAGAAGGACCAAAGGCAGCCCAAAAGCACACTGAATTCTGACTAGCCTTCCTGTTCCGAAACGTTCTTCTGGTCTTTTGAGGGCTTTTCTTCTTTACTGTGTGTCCTCAGGCATACCAACAGTTTCTGCGGGCTACTCTGTCCTCCCAACTGCTCTGCAGCAATTTGTGCTTGGCCATCCTGGTTTCAAGATGTGATCCTGGCGGTGCCTTCAGCGCGTTCGCACCGTGGAGCTGGTGGCAGGTTGCCAGGCGTTACGACTGGCCGGTGGTCACCTGCGGGGCAGAATGCCCCTGTCTATTTTAAGCCGCTAGAACATATGTCAGAGCGCAATCGGGGTCTTCGATGCAGACCAGGCTTGCCAGAAAGGCTGCCAGACTAAATTCTGGTCTCGTTGCACGGGCTGCGCTCGCTCCCAGGGAAGTCCTGCGATTCTACCTGTGGTAGAGCAGGTTTGATGCTTTGTACCCTTTGTAGGAGGGGAGGATCCAGCCCCTGGGGGGGAAAAGGTGTAACACACAGCAGCGGAGCCTGCACTGTGAACTAGTCTCGTGTGGAGTCAGAGTGTGTTCTCATTCCAAAGGTGTCATCTGCAGGCTAGGAAACTGCATCTAACAGATCTGATACGGAAAGCTGGGCCCATTCAGGGAGGAACCTAGAGCTTAGTAGCCTTGCTCGTAAGCCAGAGACATTAGAGATTTAAAACGCTGTGTAATGAAAGACTTAGTTCCCTGAAACATCGCTTTCCTGCACAGAATCCCAGCATCGGACGTGGTGTTGTTGGCCGCAGGGCTGCCTTGCGCAGCGTGTTTCCGACGGGATGCCTGTGCCTCAGAGCAATTTCTATTAACCCTTTGGTAGCCACACTAAAATAAGCCAGGAAGCCTGTGCCTTCTCGCTGGTACAAGCTTTGTGCGATGTTGTCCCTCAGCTCTTCATCTTCAGAGATGCCTGTTTGTTGTGTTTTGTTTTTTAGCATGCAGGAGTCTATTTTGGCCCAGGTGCAGAGAGTCATTAAAGGAGAAGTGAGCCTGGCTATGAAGGAGCAGCAAGCAGCTGTCACCTCGAGCATCGTCCAGGCAATGCGCTCGGCGGCCGGGACTCCGATCCCCTCTGCTCACTTGGATTTCCAGTCTCAGCAAACTCACATCCTTCAGCTGCTTCAGCAGGGACAACTCAACCAAGCTTTCCAGCAGGTACCTAGGCTTCCTGGTAGTGGGCATCGCTGCTTGTTGGGGGACGGAGTGGGGGGAAAAGGGCTTTTTGAGCTGGGGACATAATCCCACAACTCATACAGTTAAGTTCCTTCTTCCCTGCCCGTGCCCTGTCAGGACAGAGTCAGCGCTCCAGTAAGCCGGAGTGTTTTGCCATCAGCGGTGGCACGTGGTGCACCCCCGAAGAGCGACAGCTTCATAAGCCTCTCCAGGCAGATCTACCAGCTGGGGCCTGACCTTGCCTTTGTCTTTGAATATTCAGGCAGATCCATTTGATCTGCTGCAGACAGACTCCTCTGGGGATAATAGCAGTGCCGTGCCAGTGGGCTGGCAGGGGATGCAGACACGGCCCTGCTCCGTGCCGCTAACTGTAACCTGCTCCCCTCTGTCTGGTTGTGGTCTGTTCAGCTTAGAACACACACAGGTGTCCTCTGAGCGTAGACTGAGAGCCTAAACGCGGCCCTGCTTGCACGTACAGCAGGGTTTGCAGAGACCGCTTCTTCCAGAGGAGGCTGGCGAGCCATTGAGCTGCCCCGAGGCAGAGGGCTGCCTCGTGCTCTGTCCTGTGTCCATCACCTGCCTGTTGTTTCCTCTGCGTTTCTAGCTGTGTCTTCCTTGCAGGCTCTAACAGCAGCTGATCTCAACCTGGTCCTGTATGTCTGTGAGACTGTGGATACTCAGCAAGTATTCGGACAGCATCCATGCCCGCTGTCCCAGCCTGTGCTGCTCTCTCTCATTCAGCAGCTCTCCTCGGATTTGGGTACTCGTACAGAACTGAAGTTGAAGTGAGTATGATCAGAGCACCGGGTCTTAACCCTTGCAGACCTGTTCCTGGCTCTGGCTTTAGATTCACTGCCTGGAAGTGGAAGGTGGTGCTTCGACGAAGGTTGGAGCTTCTGTAGCCTGTTACTGGCACGTGAACAACCAGTAGTGACTTGGAAAACGATGTAGGCATTGCCACGGAAAGCTTTGCTGCCCGGAGGTAGTAGTAGAAGGGGTACCCAGCTGTAGGTCCTGTTACCTCCTGGATTGTAGTCTGTGAGTCGTATAGGTGGGCTGCACAGCGATCTCCCTTTAGCCAAGGAACAATTCCGCTGCGGAGGTAAAAGGAGGGATAGCGCCACGTTTCCTGGACAGCTTAATATCCAGAGCAACTGTGCTCTGTTCTCAGTTTTTAACCCGTCGCTGGTCTCCGTGTCGGCAGTTTCTTGTCGTGACTGCCGGGCAGGCTCAGTGGGAGGTGGCAGCAGGAGCTACTGGAAGTAATGTCTGTTAGATGTTCTAAGCAAAATTCATGTGACAGCATAGTGACTCTGCAGATACTTGCCATGAACATTTTTACTGAGTGAGTCAAAACCCTGTTATCTGTCCTAAAAAACTAACTTGTTAAGGTACCTGCAGGTTTTAACCATGGCTTGTATGGAAAAATGACTTAAATCGAGCTTTTAACTCCAGTTAACAGTAGGCATAAAGCAAGCTAGAAAAACTGAAAAAGAGCTCTAAGTCACAGGCGAGCTGGTAATCCGAGTTAAAGTTGCTGCTGTCAGGTTCAAGCTGGTCCGTTAGTGGAAACCGTTTGCGGTGACCACGTTGCCTTGCCCTCAGGCTGAGGTTTGAAAGTTTATGGCTTGTCTGAACTTCACGAACGGCTTGTTGGTAAAACTCTTGCTCTTCCCCCACCCCTTCCATA